CCCCCCCCCCCCCCAGAGAAAGAAATATTTTGGGAAATACTTTAAAAGATAGAATATATTTCCCTAAAGCAGGGGTAGGCAATCTGGGCTCTTTTTATGACTCCTGGACTTCAACTCCCAGAATTCCTGAGCCAGCATGGCTCAGCTTGGAAACTTCTCCCTTTCTCCTCAGCGTGGCTGGCTCAGGAATTCTGGGAGTTGAAGTCCAAGAGTCATAAAAGAGCCAAGGTTGTCTACCCCTATCCTAGGACGAAGATTAAGAGCCGGGGTCTTCAAACTTGGCCCTTTTATGACTGGTGGGTTTCAACTCCCAGAATTCCTGAGCCAGCATGGCTCAGCTTGGAAACCTCTCCCTTTCCCCTCAGCATGGCTGGCTCAGGAATTCTAGGAGATGAAGTCCACGAGTCACAAAAGAGCCAAGGTTGCCTACCCCTGTCCTAGACCTAGGCCGCTTTATGACTCGTGGACCTCAACTCCCAGAATTCCTGAGCCGGCTCAGTATGGCAACCTCTCCCTTTCCCCTCAGCATGGCTGGCTCAGGAATTCTGGGAGTTGAAGTCCACGAGTCATAAAGCGGCCTAGGCCTAGGGCAGGGCTTTTCAACCAGTGGTACGGGTACCACCTGTGGTACATTGGCACCTGGCAGGTGGTACATTGGCACCTGGCAGTAGCGGGGGAGGGGAATGAGAGTGCCACCAAGCAGGCAGGCAGGTGTCTTGCTCGGCTGTGCCTTGGGGGGCACTTTTTTCAGTGCCATTGTAACTTCGAACAGTCACTAAGCCAGTGGTTCTCAACCTTTTTAATGCCGCGACCCCAACCGGTCGTAAGTCGAGGACTAAACCGGTCGTAAGTCGAGGACTACCCAACCTGTCGTAAGTCGAGGACTTTCCCTGCCCGGGAGCGCCGCGCATGCGTGGTTCCGCCCCTTGCGCTGGCCGAGGTGTAGCTGGCAAGCGGCAGAGACGGAGCAGGACGACCACCAGCTGGCCCAGCCCAAGGGAGGTAAGGCACCTGCCGGAAAAGGGGAAAAAAATGGCGGACAGCCTTGCTTGGCGACCCCCGTGAAATGGTTGATCAACCCCAAATGGGGTCCCGACCCACAGGTTGAGAACCACTGCACTAAGCAAACTATTGTAAGTCGAGGACTACCTGTACTTTATCACTTTTTTCCTTTTTTGGGGGGGGCATCAAGTTTTTGACCCCTTGCTAGGTGACTGGTGGTACTCGGATATTGCCATATCCTAAAAGTGGTACAATGGGTGAAAAGGTTGAAAAGCCCTGGCCTAGGGCACGGGTAGGCAACCTTGGCTCTTTTATGACTCGTGGACTTCAACTCCCAGAATTCCTGAGCCAGCATGGCTCAGCATAGAAACCTCTCCATTTCTCCTCAGCGCGGCTGGCCCAGGAATTCTGGGAGTTGAAGTCCACGAGTCATAAAAGAGCCAAGGTTGCCTACCCCTGCCCTAAAGGATTTTAAAGGTAGAAACCAACCCCCCCCCCCAAGTCTCTCTGTCCCAGACAGAAACCAAGTCTGCAAATTGCAGATGTGATAATCTTGTCAGACTGGAGTCAGGAAACTGGGATTAGGAAGAAAGATACCCAGAATCAACACCAAAAATCTAAGAATCATCATCCACAGCCCCAGGGAAGCAGGATATGACCCTTGGGACTTAATAGGATTAACCCACCACCATCAGAATACCAGAAAGGCACCCACAGACTCAGTTTGTGTTTGCAGACCTTATCCTTTGATATGTGGATTGGGTCTGGGCAACTTACTTGAGGAAGTTTGCTAATGTTAGTTGATTAACTTAGTTTCAGCTTGACTGTTAATAATCTAGCAGAGACAGTGATTCTCAGACCATTGTGGATTCTGTTAATATTTTAAGGGGAAGATGGAAACAGTACACAGAATAAAATATATTTGGGTATCAAACTTCTCACAAGAGTCAAGAAAAGAGAAAGAAACGTCCAAAGAAGCCATTTCCAGTCTTTTTTGCAGCATACAAACATAACTCCTACCTAACTCCTAATTCCTCCTTCCTTCCAAACAGCTCTGGTTCATCAATCCAAAACTCGCCTTTCGAAGCTTGGAAAGCCAGATGGGATAACACAATTGCAGTGGTGAGCCAGCATTCATAGTGTTAAGAGGATTTTCCTTACACATTTACAGTATGTTTAAATTAAGGATTGTTGAAAGACAGCATAAATGAGCACAGCAGGTTGGCAAGCCGTCATAAAGGAAGACAAATATTTTATATATTTGAAGATATATGCCTAGGAAAGACGAGATGCTTCTTTGCAAGACATTTGTGGTTAATTATAGACGAGGAAACATCCCTTTTAGCAGAATATGGAAAAAAGTAAGAACTGCACAGGAGGAAGATAGGTAGCTCTTGGCTTATGGCCATAATTGAGTCTGCAGTTTTGGTTCTAAGGTAATAATAATAATAATGATGATGATGATGTTGATGATGATGATGATGATGATGATGGAAGGTACCTTGGAGGTCATCTAGTCCAACCCCTGCTGCTCAGGCAGGAAACCCTATACCGTTTCGGACAAATGGCTGTCCAGTCTCTTCTTAAAAACTTCAAGTGTTGGAGCATTCACTGCTTCTGGAGGCAGGTTGTTCCACTGGTTCTAACTGTCAGGAAGTTTCTCCTTAGTTCTAGGTTGCTTCTCTCCTTGATTAGTTTCCATCCATTGCTTCTTCTCCTGCCTTCAGGGGCTCTGGAGAATAGCTTGACTCCCTCTTCTTTGGGGCAGCCCCTGAGATATTGGAACACCGCTATCCTGTCCCCCCTCGTCCTTCTCTTCATTAAACTAGACATACCCAATTCCAGCAACCATTCCTTATATGTGGTTGTGACAGTTCTTAGTGGGTTACCATGTGACCACACTCAATTTTACAACCTGTTTTGCAGTAGTTGTTAAGCAAACATTATTTGCTATGAGACATTGTGGTCACATGACTGTGGGGGAGGGGGTGGCCATGGGAACTTTTTGGGGGGGCTCTGTCATAAGTCACTGGTTATTAAGTTGAGGAGTACGTGTATTGCAATAAGTTAATACATTCCATTTGATAATGACTAGCTAAATCTTTCAACTGAAAACCTGTTTTACTAAATTTCTACACCACCCAGATGACTCTATAAGAGTAAGAAGAGACTGGACAGCCATTTGTCCGAAATGGTATAGGGTTTCCTGCCTGAGCAGGGGGTTGGACTAGATGACCTCCAAGGTCCCTTCCAACTTTATTATTATTATTATTATTATTATTATTATTATTATTATTATTATTATTATTATTATTATTGAGCTAGGAGAGCAATCCACTCTGGCTGCCATCCCGTGTTACATGGGTTGAGCAAATATATTTTCGATGACCTCCGTTGATCATCTGGCATATTTTATCGAATTCTTGGATTGGCACAAACTGGGGGAAAGATTGGACAATGGAATATTTATTTGGTTCAGGTTTACTGCTGTTGGAGAAAACATTTTGAAGATCTCTTGACCGTTACCCATTGGGCCTCTGCTCTTCAGGGAAAGATGGAGTTGAGATGGCCAAAAATATAACAGGCATCAAGAATGCAACCCCTTTTTAAAACGTTGACTCTACAGTTGATTCACAAAAGCTGCGTGGACTTACATGTGCAGAGTTCCAGCTACTTTATTATAGTCTGTCTATAATGCAGAATTTCCCCAGTCTGGCAGCTCTCTCTTGGGAACAATTATATAAGACTTTAAAGAATTCAGGGAGGGTTGCCTGGTTCTTTATGGTTCCGCAGTGACTTGATCCCTCCTCCCTGCCTGCCAGGGTGCTTCCAAAGAACAACACTGATTTCTGTTTTGACAGGAGATCTAGAAGGCTGGCTATTGCAGGGAGCCCTGGGCCAAGGGGTGGGGCAGCTGCACAGAGGCGTAATGTTATGTGGAAAAAAACCTTGGGAGACTCAGGCTAAGAGACGCTGCCAAGGGAGGGAATGGTTAGAATGGCCAGAGAAAGCATAACCTGCGTGGGTCAAGGTTGAAAAACTCTGTTCTGATTGGTGCTGGCAGGATCTTAATTCTGGACTGGCAAAAATACCACCGAGCTTGGTCAGCATGACCAATTCCAGGGGGCACTTTTGGGGTGGACATAAAAAAATCTTTCAAACCTTTTGGAGATTCTGTGACTGAGGGAGGTTTTGAACCCGGGTCTCCCCGATACCAGTCCAGCACCTTAAAACACGATCCCACATCAGTTCTCTTTCCCAGATCCCCGTTTGGCTCAGTAGTACCATCCAAAAGGGTTGTCTTTGTTGTCATCTTTCATCTTTCCAATCTCTCTTTTGTTTTAATTCTTGGATTTCCTGGTGGTCTTCTATCCATGTAATAACCAAGTCAAATTTGACTTCCCACTTAAACAAGTTTTAGCAAGACAGGAGGCACTTCATGTGTGTGTGTGTAGGGTGTGTGTGTCTGTGGTTTCCCCAAGTTCTTGCAGAGGGTTAAAAAGAAATTTGTTCTCAGGCATAGGTCCAACCTCGTCTGTGTTTTCCATTTCAAAACAAGACAGCAATGAATCATTCATGTGCCGCAGTTGCTCTTTTGAGATCTGAAAGATGTTTTAGAAGCTGCAATGTGGTGATTTGGACTTACCGATGGAAGTCTTTGTCCACAGCTCGGCCAGGGAATCTGAGAGGGGGTTATCTCCTCCCCTGCCATAAACCGGAGATATCCTTTCGCTCTAAACCAGTCTTCTCGCCCCACAATGCCCATCCTCAATGCTCAATATTGGACCTCAATGCCCATCATCTCCAGGCAACATTTGGAATGAAGGTTATTTTAGCAGAAGGTTATTTGGAATGAAGGTTATTTATCTCCTCCCGGTTCTGTTGGCCGGGGAGGAGATCCTACACATCTGTCTGGTGCCACTTTTGTGAATTTGAGCTGAGGCACAAGGCTCCCTTCAGGAGAGCTTTCCTATCTTGGCAACTTCCAGATGTGACCATTGTTCTTAGCAGCAGCCACATTAGGGAAGTCCTTGATGCTCTCTGAGCTCTTTTAGCATTACATATAGCATTACAGCATTTAGGCTTATATACCACCCCATAGCATTTTATAGCAGAGGTCCCCAACCTTGGCAACTTGAAGACTTGTGGACTTCAACTCCCAGAATTCCTCAGCCAGCTTGGCTGACTGAGGAATTCTGGGAGTTGAAGTCCACAAGTCTTCAAGTTGCCAAGGTTGGGGACCCCTGCTTTATAGTATTCTCTGGGCAGTTTACAGTTAGAAGCATTATCTGCGTATTGTCCCCAACAATTTGGGTTCTCATTTTACCAACTTCAGAAGGATGAAAAGCTGAGTCAAGGATCAAACTCCTGGCAGTGGGCAGAGTTTGCCTGCAATGCTGCACTTTAACCACTGCGCCACCAAATCGATATTGCTTATGCCTGTGTGTCTGTTGATGGCTAATTTGTCGGAGTGTCAGGCTTCCAGAAATTCTCCAGTATTTTTGGCTTAGCTTGGTCTATGAGAGCCAGAGTTTCCCATGTCAACTGGGAAATTAGTCATCTACCTTTAGAGTCCTCTGGACATAGACACAGGCTATCTACGAGACTGCCTTTTCCTAAGGATGTCTACCTGTCCTACCAGGTCAGATGAGATGGACACTCCCTTCCCCTAAATTTTGCCACCTGATGGGATCTAGGAAGCATGCCTTTTCCGTGGCAGCCCTGCCCTATGGAACTCTTTGCCCCATGAAGTTCAGCAGGCCTTTGCCCCCCCCAGCCTTCCGCAAAGATTTAAAGACCTGGTTTCCCCCCCCCCCAAATGCTGGGAGGAGAGTAGATAAATCACCCTTTAGCACTTGGATCTGATGCCAGGTTTATGTTGTTTTTTAAGGTTTTCATTGGTTTGGCTTTATAGTTTTAATATGATTTCATGTGTCTTTTGGTGTTTGATTGGGAGCCAACCAGAGTTAGTTGAAAGCTGGATGGCTACGTAAGTGTTCTCAATAAACAAACTGGGGGAGTTTGATTATTTATTTGTTGCATTTATATGTCGCCCCTCTCAGTCTGCAAGGCTACTCGGTTCAGGTTCCCCCCCCCTCTAAAAAGAGGTGCAAACCAGGTTTAAGAAGACCATCTTAGCAGAGTAAGCAGGACATTTTCCCCCCCAGTTGGCCAATGTCAGTCACAAAGAAGAGACGCCCCTCCCTTGATTTCTCCTTTTTATTGTCCACAAAGGTTGCTCAGAGGCATAATACTGTCACCGTGACATTGAGCGCAGCAGCCCCCGTCAATGCCCCACCGAGAAACAGCAGCACCCCCTCCTCAAAAAAAAAAAAAAAAAAGCACAGTGTGTTGGACGATGGCAGCTGCTGAGTCGCTAACAGTGCACACACACATACACTCACACACAGCCACACAATGTTGCCCATCTCCTGGCTGAGACCGACAGGGAGAGGTCTTTAAATAAGAGATCTAGATCCATGTTTCTCAACCTTGGCTGGCTGGCTGGCTGGCTGAGGAATTGGTAGAGTTAAAGTTGTCCAGGTTAGGAAACACTGATCTAAATGCTTCCCGTTAGCCGGAACACACACTTGCCTGCAACACTGACACACCCTTGTTTAGGAAAACCCTTCTGGAGTTGGGGGGTCTGATCTCCCCGTCTCGCGATCTGGCCCTCACCTAAAAATGCAGCCCCTCTCCCCAAGGGGCAGCCAGATCACAGAGGCGCAGTCCTCCTGCTAACATCAAAGTTTATATACATTATTCACATCCTTTGTTACCCAGCCAGTTAAATAACTATGTGGTTATATAGTGTTGAAGATGAGCTATGAGATGGGGGTCAGTCTGATAAGGTGCTTATTAAAAAAATAATACTAGTCATAAAATGAGGACAGGAAGAAGAGTGAGTGAGTCCACAGGGCTGGCACCCCAGCCTGGCTCCTTGCGTTGCCCTCAAGTCCACAGAGGGGCAGAATTCGCCCCAGGTCGTCCTCCTCCTCCATTCTAACGTAGCCTGCAGCTGGCCCGCTGTTGCCCCCGTCCTTTGGCATCCCCCTCTACAGAACTTCTGCAGGAGGAAAAGAAAAGAGACAAATCAGAAATTTGGAGGACTAAAACGCTCCAGCTTTGACCCAGCCAAGCTTCCCTGTACAAGACAGGACTGAATGTAGGTAGTCCTCCAGTTACAATGGATGGAAACTAACCAAAAAGAGAAGCAACCTAGAACTAAGAAGAAACTTCCTGACAGAACAATTAACCAGTGGAACAACCTGCCTCCAGAAGCAGTGAATGCGCCAACACTGGAAGTTTTTAAGAAGAGACTGGACAGCCATTTGTCCGAAATGGTGTAGGGTTTCCTGCCTGAGCAGGGGGTTGGACTAGGTGACCTCCAAGGTCCCTTCCAACTTTATTATTATTATTATTAAGCGAAATCAATGGGAAAGCTGGATTCGCTTAATGGCCATGGGATTCATTTAACAACTGCTTGAAATTGGGTAATAAAGGTTGTAAGATCCGGCGTGACTCACTTAACAACCGCCTGGCTTAGCATCGGAAAGTCTGGCCCCAACTGTGGCCGTAAGTCGAAGCGTTCTGTACTCTATGAGCTGTTAGGGAGGGGCTGTCCTCATCCTTTTTCTCTCCCACAATATCTGGGCTGAGTTGCCTCTTGACTCCTCTGGAATGCAGCCCCTCCCTCCTGGGAGCCCGCCTCCCTACTGAACCCCATTGGACAGAAGATGCTCTGTGCTGGAGAATGGCAGCGACCTTACCTGTCACCTGGGGCGCCTTGGCCACGGCGTTGTTGAGGAAGGGCTCCTTGTTGGCAAAAGGCAGGATGGGCTCATCGGCCACGCTTAGCCCGGACCCTGCAGGGTGCTCCCGTCCACCGGGCTCCTGGGGAGAGGGGAAGCCATTCTCATGCTTGCTGGACTGCAGGCCGTTCACCAGGGCCAGGGTGGGGTTGATGGGGGAGCTGCAGCGGAAAGAGAAGTGGGGGTGAAGTCACGGCATCCTCAAGGAGACGCGGAGGAAGGCAAAGGTGGGCAGAAGGGAGAACACCCAGATCTACATTCTGGAGAGCAGATCTTTGCACACAACACACAGGTGCTGACACACAAGAAATCTTTGCTTTAGCCCCCAAGGGTTCTTCCTTGGATTGGCGGAAGGACTTTTGAGCTGGCTGGGGAATTCTGGGAGTTGAAGTCCTCACATCTTCAAGTTGCCAAGATTGAGAAACACCCATCTGGATAATTTGGCCGATCTTGAAAAAAGCTCAGCTGGTTGGACCTGATTAGTAGCTGGATGGAGGAATACCAGAAAAATCCAGGGCATTCCAAAAGGGAAAGCTTTAGCGGCCCTGGCCTTATCGTTGACAAGAAAACCCCCTAGATGCGTGAAGCTCCACTTGAGGGAGGCCTTTATCGTTTTATAGCAACAAAGAAGGGGATTCTGGGAAAGTATCTGCCGTGGCATTCCTGTAACGTTCCGATCGGTCTTTTCAACTCTACATACCTGTGCTGCATGCCTTCCGGACCTGGCCCTTTGCGACCGGCTGGACTTGAGGGTTGCATCTCGGGCAGTTCTTCTTCCTTGGGAAGACTTCCGGGATATTTCTTGCTATCTGAAAATGGAAGAAAATCTTCTATTAAGCCCCCTGGAGGCCACAGAATAGTAAAAGAAATAGCAATAGCACTCAAGACTAATATACCGCTTCACAGTGCTTTACAGCCCTCTCTGAGCAGTTTTCCAGAGTCAGCCTATTGCGCCCCCCCCCCAACAATCAGGGTCCTCATTTTACCGATCTCGGAAGGATGGAAGGCTGAGTCAACCGTGAGCCGATCAGGATCGAACTCCAGGCTGTTTGCCTGCTACACTGCATTCTAACCACGGCACCACAAGGAAAGGAGGGGAGAAATAGCAATAGCACTTAGAGCACGGGTCGGCAACTCGCAGCTCCGGAGCCACATGTGGCTTTTTGAGCCTTTTCCTGTGGCTCCCAGCCTCTGCCATTTGCAGAAAGAGAGAGAGAGAGAGAGAGGCACTTGTGCTTCCCTTCTCTCTCTCTCTCTCTGTGCGTGTGTGTGCGTGTGTGTGTGTGTGTGTGTGTAAAAGAGAGTGGCCTCACGCTGTTCTCGGACAAGCTGACAAGCTTATTAGGTGGGGCTTCTGCCTTTGCTGCGTCTCAGCAGGAAGCAGCAGTTCTCTCTCTCTCTCTCTCTCTCTCTCTCTCTCTCTCTCTCTCTCTCTCTCTCTCTCTCTCTCTCTCTCTCTCTCTCTCCCTCCCTCTCTCTCTCTCTCTCTCTCTCTCACTGAGTGGGGGAAGAGGACTGGCAGACCAAGGGCAGGAGAGAGCCAGCCCAATAAGAATGTGTGTCAGCTTGTCCGAGAACAGCGTGAAGCCAGCTTGCCAGGTGAGCAGAAGATTGGAGAGAGGGGGGAGAGAGAGGGAGGGAGGCAAAGAGAGGGAGAGAGAGAGGGAGGGAGGGAGAGAGAGAACTTATGCACAGCAGCCTCTATTTCTTTTTAACTAAACTCTTCAATCAAGCTCCTCTCCCCTTGCGCGTGCGTGCACACGCACAAGTTTTGCGGCTCCCAGTGTTTTCTTTTCTCTGGGAAACGGGTCCAAGTGGCTCTTTGAGTGTTTAAGGTTGCCGACCCCTGACTTAGACTAATATACCGCTTCACAGTGCTTTACAGCCCTCTCTAAGCAGTTTACAGAGTCAGCCTTTTGCCCCCCAACAATCCAGGTCCTCATTTTACCGACCTGGGAAGGATGGAAGGCTGAGTCAACCTTCAGCCACTCAGGATCGAACTGCTGGAGTGAGTAGTGAGTTAGCCTGCAGTGCTGCAGGCCAACTGCTGTGCCCCCACGGTCCTCCCAGGACCTCCTCCTCCGCCTTCCCCCCCAAAAAAAGAAAGCTGGAGTTCTTAATGGGGCCCCAAATGAATCTATATTCATCACGGGGAGTCTAGGAGCAGAGTTCATTAAAAAAAAAAAAGAGAAATAGGCTCACGAGATTACAGGTAGTCCTCAATATATGACAACAGCTGGGACCAGAATTTCCATTGCTAAGCAAGGCGGTTGTTAAATGAATCACATGGGCCTTAAAGCGAATCCAGCTTCCCCCGCTGACTTTGCTTGTTGGAAGCCAGCTGGGAAGGTCACAACTGTTGATCTCGTGACCCTGGGATGCTGCGACCGTTGTAAGTACGTGGTGGTTGCCAAGCCCCTGAATTTTGAGCGTGTGATTATGGGAATGCGTGTGATGGTCACAAGTGGGAGGACCAGTTGTCAAATCGCTTTTTCCGGGGTGGCTGCAACTTCACACGGTTGCTGAACGAATGGTGCTAAGTTGAAGACAACCTGTAATCCGATTTCATAGGGAGGATATTGAAGGATGCAGAAAGGGATTCTCACCTGGACACACTCCACCCCCTTGCTTCCCTTCCTTGCCGTTCACCATCTTCTTGTCCTCTTTCTTCTGCAAAAAAAGGAGTGGAGATCTATTTAAGGGAGAAGGAAGCAAGTCTTCAGCCAGTATGTTGGCGGAGGTTCACGCTTGCTATCATCTCGTGGAAGGAAGGAAGGAAGGAAGGAAGGAAGGAAGGAAGGAAGGAAGGAAGGAAGGAAGGAAGGAAGGAAGGAAGGAAGACTCACGAATGAAGGCAAATATACGTGTCCCAGGATAATGTTGCAAGATCCAATCTGGGTCGGTCAGCGTGGCCAGAGGCTCTGTCTTCCCAGGTTTCGGACTTGTGCTGGAGCCCACCTTCAGGGAATTTCTACTGGAATACATGCTTTGGGCTATATAAAGCTCGGAAGAGTAATCCTCTGGTCACGGTGCCTGATCCAGATTGCAAGGAAAACTCTCCACTGTTTCTGGGCCTCTGCAAAGGCCCCCGAGTTGGTGGGGTGCCAGAGACCCAAGGTTGCCCTATCGTAAGAGGGGCACAGCAGACTGGCAGACCCAAAGCTTCTGTGGAGCAGCTGGGCATAAATGTTTTAAGAGCCTTGGGAGAGCCCAGGATGAATTGCGCTCCCGTTCATCCAGAAGGAGGGCTGCTCTCTGCTACCTCTTCCGTAGGCATCACCCTATCTAAGGCCAGAAACAGCAGCTCATGATCCTCTCATCTGCCGGAAGAGGCCAGGAAAATCAATCACCCGTGCATCAGCTCCATCGGCTTTTCGTGTCCGTTTCATGATCTCTTCCAGGCGCTGCAAGGAGAAAAACAGAACAAGATGGTCAAAAAGAAGAAGAAAAAAGGCCCTATTGAAATGCAAAAATTTGCTGCCTCGCCAGCCACAACAGGAGGGGAAGCCTGATTTTATAAAACAGTGAGACGATACAGGGATTTATTTGGATGTTTTGCTATGAGGTAAGGTATGCGAGAAGATCCTGTACGTTTTTCCGAACCAGAAGGATTCACACGGGGAATCCTGAGCAAGATTCAGGATCCTGAACAAGAATTACATTCCACCATTGAAGTGTTATCCCAGTACACTTGGGACCAGGATTTCCACCGGTTGTTCAGTGAGTCGCACCCAATTGTGTGACCTTTTTGCGATGGTTGTTAAGCAGATCACGGCAGTGGCTAAGCGAATCATGAGATCGTTAAGCAAACTCTGGCTTTTCTCATTGACTTTGCTTGTCAGAAGCCAGTTGGGAAGGTTGCAAATGGCAATCTCAAGACCCCTGAACCATACAACCGTTGTCAACACTGCTAATATTGAATATTCTTGCTTTGACAAAATATGCAGAACTGTCTGGTACTTTTGAGTTAATTCAGATGAGAATGAGGAGAGAAAAGCCCATGGAAGTGAATCTTTGCCCTCCAGGTTAATTGGAAGATGAGAATCATGACCCCAAAATAGGGGAGGGGAAATGCCTGGAATGTTATGTGCAAAGGAAGGGAAATTCAGATCTTGGCATGATATCATGTGTCTGACTAATGAAACACTTCAAAGAACTTTCAGGCATGGTTTAACCTAAAAAGCCTTTTATTAGTGTAAAGGAGTGTCAGCACGGCATGGCGATTGCCAAGATCTGAATTTCCCTTCCTTTGCACATAACATTCCAGGCATTTCCCCTTCCCTATTTTGGGGTCATGATTCTCATCTTCCAATTAACCTGGAGGGCAAAGATTCCCTTCCGTTCCCTTCTGTGGGCTTTTCTCACCTTTCTCATTCTCATCTGAATTAACTCTGAAAGTACCAGACAGTTCTGCATATTTTGTCAAAGCAAGAATAGTCAATATTAGCAGCGTTGACAACCGTGGTCCATGGATGCTGGTTGCCAAGCGCTTGAATCTTGACCGCATGACGGGGTGGGTTTTAACTGTGCTTGCCAATGAAATTGAATTTAACCAAAGACGTCACGACTTTCTGATTGCAACTCTTTAAAATCCAGTAGTTCAAGCACCCACAACCAGACCCACACGTGTTGTCGAGTACAAATAAGCTACTTTATTGCTTTGTGCCTATTTCCCAGGAATCTTCCTAGACTGGCAACTTGGGGAAAGACTAGATAAGTCTAATTGCCTTCAAGGGAAGGTCAGGCCTCTTGTCTCTTGTGTTTACATACCGACTCCAGACTATTCCCCATTTGACCCCCTCCTCCTGCCTGGGATGGTTGCCCTCCAACCCAGTGGCTAAGACCAGCTGGCCTGCTGGCTTTGGAAGCAAATTCCCAAGTGCCCCCTTCTCCTTTACAGAATAAAGCTGTTATGGAGGTTTCCACGACTTGCGTGATTAATTGGCGCAGCACTCCAGGGGCAACTGAGCAGGGATTCTGGGGCAACCCTCTTACCTTCTTCCTCTCCAGCCGCTCTTGTTCTTCCTTCTGGAAATGTTTTTCCCGTTCCACTCGCTGGCGTTCAGCCTCTTCCCGGGCCCGAGCCTCGGCTTCCTCCTTCTGCAAGGAAGGAGAGGAGAGGTGAGCACCCGCCGTGCAAGGGAAGGCTCACCCCCATGCCCCTATTTCCAGCCACTGCAGAAGGACCAGGAGAGCAAGGGTGGAAGAAAGGTAGGACTTTCTGAGTCAGATTTCCCCCGCTCCCAAGAATGAGAGAAAAAAGGCAGGTCTTCTTGCCAGACCATTTGGGAAATTCAGGGGTCCCTCCCTGTAAAGGGGAAGGAAGTTAATAACAACAACAATAATGATGATGATGATGATGTAATAACATCAAATATCCACATCTGCCTATCCTAGGTCCTTGGGAAGGACTCGACAGGTAGACAAAATGCCAAATCCAGTCTGAACATCTGGCTGACTGTGTGATGATTAATAATAATAATAATAATAATAATAATAATAATAATAATAATAATAATAATAATAATAATAATAATAATAATAATAATAATAAATAAAGTTGGAAGGGACCTTGGAGGTCATCTAGTCCAACCCCCTGCTCAGGCAGGAAACCCTATACCATTTCAGACAAATGGCCCTCCAGTCTCTTCTTAAAAACTTCCAGTCTTGGAGCATTCACCGCTTCTGGAGGCAGGTGGTTCCACTGGTTAATTGTTCTAACTGTCAGGAAGTTTCTCCTTAGTTCTAGGTTGCTTCTCTCCTTGGTTAGTTTCCATCCATTGCTTCTTGTCCTGCCTTCTGGCGCTTTGGAGAATAGCTTGACTCCCTCTTCTTTGTGGCAGCCCCTGAGATATTGGAAGTCTGCTATCATGTCCCCCCTCGTCCTTCTCTTCCTTAAACTAGACATACCCAATTCCAGCAGCCGTTCCTCTCAGCAGGACAGGTGGTCCTTGTTTAGCACCTGCCTCGTTTAGTGACCGCAGTTAGGATGGTAATGAAAAAAGTCACCTTAGGACCAGTCCCCCAATTCATAACGCACCTGCTTCTGCAGCCGTTCTTGTTCCTCTTGCTCCGCCCGAGCTCGTTCCTGGGCCTCCTGCTCCTCCTGCCGGGCCTGCTGCTCCTCCAGCCTAGCCAGCTCAACCTGCTGCTGTAGGCGGTCTCTGGCTTCTTGCTGGGCCCTCTCCTCCACTTGGCGCCTGCCGGACGTCAAAGAGTCAAATATCTCAGCTCAAACCACACACAAAAAAAAAAAGAAGAAGAAGAACAATGGAAAGCACCCGCTGAGGGCATCTTAGCACGGCCCAGAATCAATACGCTTGCACTGCAGAAACCTAACTCAGAGTATGTACAGAGAAAATAAAACTCTGCACATGTTCCACCTCACCATCTTGTTTTACCAGTTTCTAGGTTATCTCATCCCTTCCTTCCCTAAGAGATGAGATACTTGACCTCGAATGAGATGAGATGAGATACTGGCTGGTCACCTGAAAGCTAATTGTGCCCGACTCTCCAGGGGAAAAAAAAAAACGCATCCTCCTCCACGAGGCCTAGAAACCTCGCGTGTAAAACTCACCGCTCCTGTTCCTCTCGCTCCTTCCGTTCCTGCTCCTCCCGCTCCCGCTGTTCCCGTGCTTGCCGCCTTTTCTCAGACAGCAGTCTAGCAGCTTCTTCTCGGTCTGTGGTGCCAGCCATTGGCTTGCCTGGCGTTGGAGGAGGAGGTGGAGGCATCAGGCTGGCAGCCCCAGAGGGGGCAGCGACATCTACAGAATGCCAAGCTTAGGGTTAGGCCTCTTGTCCCCGAAGGAGCTTCCCCACCAGTTATCTCCACCCAGGGATCACATTCCTAACGGAAGGGAAGATGTAGCTTGATTGTGGTGAGGGTCTCAGATGGTTAAGGGAGCCCAGAGACTGCTTGCTGGATGGTTTTGGATAGCCATCATGGCTACAGTCACACAGCGCTCTTAAGCTGAGGCTATTTTAACCTGTTGCTAAACTAACCAAGACGGCATGCTTACATAACAGGCGCAGCCCCCAAAAATACTAACCCGAGGCTAACACTGTCCAGGCTAGACAAGTTGTGCAAAAGCAGCCGAGCTTCACCTGCCTGGATGGTCATTAAATGAATCTGTGGTCATTAAGAAAACCAGCAGTTCACTAGAGGCACAGTTCTGCCGAAAACTGGAAGTGCTAGTTTTTAGGAAAACCGTCGTAAAACACGGTCACGTGTCTGCAGGACAATGCAAACGACTGCAAATGCAGCCGTGTCGCTGAGCACCCAACATTCAGTCACGTGGCCAACCATTGGATCTTTGAATTCGGGTTGTAAGTCTCCTTTTAGGGGCTGGTCATAACTCTGAAGGGTTGTAAGCAGTGGTGGGATTCAGCCGGTTCGCACCAGTTCGGCAGAACCAGTAGTTAATTTTTTTGTTGCCCAGACCCAGACCTCCGGAAGCGGCATCCACACAGAGAACCGGTTGTTCACCTATTTGAATCCCACCACTGGTTGTAAGTCAAGGACTCCCTGAATAAATTTTCAGAATGCAATTGTTAATTCTTTAATGTCCGGCTCTATGCCTTGTTTTATTGGACCGCGTTAGTCTTGGACTGCAATTCAGTGTTAACTAACACCAAGTAGGACCCACCTGTTGGTGTCTCGTTGCTCCCGGTTGCCTTCAGGCTCTCCTCCGGGGCTGGAGAAGCCGCCCCACATTCCTTGGGTTCATTCTTGCGTTCACGGGCCTTCGGTTGGCCCTCGGGCTCCCTGCGAGCTCGTCTCTTGGGTGAAGACTGGGCACTGCGAGCCAGGCTTGACCGGTGTGAAATGCTGGGTCCCGGGCTTGGCGAGGCAGGGCGCTGTTTGGCCACAGCTGGTGAGGCTGGTCTGGGCTTGGGGCTTGGGCTGCCAAAGGGAAGCATAAAGGAGATGGCATTAGAGACACGGTGAAGGAATAGAATATATGTAGTGGAGTTGAATGGAATAGAATAGAATAGAATAGAATAGAATATATGGCATGGCATGGCATGGCATGACATATAGAATAGAATAGAATAGAATAGAATAGAATAGAATAGAATAGAATAGAATGGCATGGCATATAGAATAGAACAGAACAGAATCTTTATTTAGTTATTTGACCACATCAAAAGTATAAAATATAAATATCTAAGTAGATGCCAAGAAAGCAACAGGATGTGTTCATAGCAAGTCATTACCTTTACAGTTAACCCCAATCTGATTTAAATATTCCATCCTCTTTGAAATAGCCTTTGATATACACCTCCCACAGTCAGACATGACCGCAAAGTTGGTTTCTTAAAGTCCATTTGGCCAGTGCTAAATTAATTCTGCATCTCATCAAGATCCCTATGACTTCTTACCTGCCTTCAGGTACGTGCAGCTGACGCGCCTGGCTAGAAGGCGTAGAGTAGCGTTTGCGGAGGGCTAAGGCACTCTTTTCTTGGGCATTTTCCCGATCCTTGTCTTTCTTTTCTTTCTTTTTCTGCTGGTGAGAATAGGAGAAGAAAGAGTCATAAAGCAGAACCCACTTTGACGATGGAGAAGCAGTTCTCCAGAGCTGTGGGCCGAATCGGGTCACACTAACATCATCTTCAAAGCAGGAGGTTGTTGAAGCCAGNGGAGGGCTAAGGCACTCTTTTCTTGGGCATTTTCCCGATCCTTGTCTTTCTTTTCTTTCTTTTTCTGCTGGTGAGAATAGGAGAAGAAAGAGTCATAAAGCAGAACCCACTTTGACGATGGAGAAGCAGTTCTCCAGAGCTGTGGGCCGAATCGGGTCACACTAACATCATCTTCAAAGCAGGAGGTTGTTGAAGCCAGCGCTTCTCAATCTTGGCAGTGTATGAACTTCAACTCCCAGAATTCCCAGTACTTTAAGATGGGTGGAAGTCTCCAAATTGCCAGTGTACTGTACCTGTCTGTATAGTCAGTTGCTTAGCAACCGAAAGCTATTTGGTTTTCATCCCTCTCTCCAGGCAACAGCAGAACATACAAAGCTGGGATGTACGTAGCATTTGGCTATTGGGTGTCTCTCTCCCACCCCCATACTTCAGGTTTGAAATTCAGGCATCCCTTTCTATCAAAGAGGCCAGGACTCGGGTTTAATTTAGGAAGTAGACTATGATTAGTCTGAGAATGAAGAGAATCCTGGAAAAGAGCCACTGAGAAGACCATTTTCATTTTCCATTGGATGAAACGTCTGCAATTTCCTCAAATTGCTGATCCCCTCAAGGTCGTTACAGTTCTCCTCATCCCAATAGGCAGGTTAAAAATGAGATCAGGTTGGGGAAAGCTGCAGCACTCAAGATCAGGGGGGTCTTCAAACTTGGCCCTTTGATGACTTGTGGACTTCAACTCCCAGAATTCCTCAGCCAGCCCTCAGTTGAAGTCCACAAGTCATCCAAGGGCCAAGTTTGAAGACCCCTGCTCAAGACCATCCCAACTGCTAGTCTCTGTTACTCCTAACAGGAGAGAGGAAACTTTGATGGGAATATAGGTGTGAGCCTAAAGCAGCGTTTCTCAAACTTGGCAACTTTAAGAATTCTGGGAGTTGAAGTCCACAAGTCATCAGAGGGCCAACTTTGAAGACCCCTGCTCAAGACCATAAGGAGAACCAGCCCAACTGCTAGTCTCTGTTACTCCTAACAGGAGAGAGGAAACGTTGATGGGAATATAGATGTGAGCCTAAAGCAGCGTTTCTCAAACTTGGCAACTTTTAAGAATTCTGGGAGTGGCATCCTAGAAGATTTGAGAAACACAGATCTAAAGAGTGGGGATGGTTAAAAAAAATCATAGCAACTTACAGGAGAGGACTGTGGCTTATTCCGGGGCGTTACATCAGGGCTGCTGGTTGCCGGACGCCGTCGCTCTGCGCAACGGTGCACACGCTGGTTTTTGCAGGGGCTTACAGGGCTGGCAGAAGCCGAGCGGGGGCACACGGGTACTGTTGGCAGTCAATGAAAAGAGAAGGTCTGAATCTTTTCTAGGGTTGTTTCACAATACAGGTAATCCTCCATTTACAACTTTGAGCAACCGTTCCAAGTGACGACGTCACTGAATAAAGTGACTTGCGGCTGTTTTTCACACTCACGGCCATTGCAGCATCCCCGTGGTCACATGATCAAAATTCAGATGCTCGGCAACTGGCATGTGTTTATGACAGTTGCAGTGCCCCCAGGGTCATGTGATCAGGTTTGACATTTATCAATAAATTTTTAGCTTATACATATCTTAATTACATTCAGCCTTCATAAACAATCCACATCCTGTTATTAATTTTTACCCAATTTTTAGTTTCTCATCAATATTCCAGTTTAACCTTTGATATTTATAATTTTCAAGCCTTAGGTAAACCAAGATTTCCCTTATCTCAATTCATAACAAAATCTAATATCCCAAATACACATTTTAGTTGTTATTTTCAACTGATTTCCAAGTATTTTAAATGGTAAGTCAAGGACTACCTGTATTCAGTCTGGGAATAAAACCGGAGTTCTGATTCTACAGTACTTAAAAGGTAGCCTGCCATAATGTAGCTGAATGTATCCACAAAACAAGCTTCACCAGGCTGGGAAAGCAATCCATTTTCTCATTTTTGTCCACCTAACCCAAAGGCCTGCATTCACACAGGAGACTGAACCAGAAGACTAAGCCAAGATGAAATCTAATCAAGTTTTTGCAACAGGATGAATGCAAGACCTAGGCTTGTTGTTAACTTGAGATAAGCTATCAAACTAAAAATAACAAAAAAAAAAATTTCTCAATTTATTGTTAAAATAAACTCTTCCTAAAATTGTGAGCAAAATTTCGGAGTGTGGAATTTAGGGAAGCACAGGACACAAAGGCTAGTCTCGTGGCTTTGTGTTAGCCATGGCTTATTCAATCAGCCAAACATGGCATGCTAAGCCATAAACCCTGGTTCACAAATGTAACGGCCGACTTCACGGAACACAAGCTAAAACTAATAAATCAACCCCAGAACGCAACGGCAGTGTTTGCCTGATGCAATTGCAAACCTGTCATTATCTTGGCCTCATCGTGGCTTGCTTGGGATGCTGGTGAACCCACCACGCCCTCCTCTCGATAACACTTTAGCCCCTTCAGGTCATTCTGCTTACCCTGCTCCTTGCCATTGCCGGCCAGCGTCACAGCGCTTCTGCTGCGGGCCAAGAAGGCGAGAGTCGGGGTCATCAGCCGGTCCACGATGCTGCTCTCCCAAGCACTAAGTTGAAGACTACGATCTGGGGAAGGAACAACCAAAGCTTTTGGTTAATCTGGTAGGCTCAGTTCCATCCTGGACCAACCTTCCAGCACCTGAAGTTGCAAAGTTGGATTTCTGGTCTGCAGAGTGTGTGCAACGAGACTAACTTCCCAAGCCCCATTTTCCTCAAAATTGGTAGCTATTACTATCACTATGTCAACGCTGCAAATACTGTATATTCTTGCTTTGACAATATGCAGAACTGTCTGGTATTTTTATAGTTAAATCAGGCAACAGGGAAAGGGGAGAATATAAGGAAAGCCCGGGAAAAAGGAACCGGAAGTGAATCACATCTTCCAAGTTAATTGGAAGATGTGTATCATGACCCCAAAATAGGGGAGGGAAAAATGCCTGGAATGTTATGTGCAACGGAAGAGAAAATCAGATCTTAGCATTCCACCATGCCGTTCTGACATCTCTGTAACCTTAATAAAGGCTTTTAGGAGGAAAAAGAAATGCCTGAAAGTTCTTTTAAGTGTTTCGTTAATCAGACACATGACACACTACAGTTGTACTTCGAGCACCAAAGCACTTCCAGGTTGAAAGGATTAGCTGGTGACATCACCACTGCCCGGAAGATGCCCAGTTAGGGGCTTCTTTCATGTTCTCAAGGTGGTACCCGTCTACCTACTCGCAGTTGCTCACTTTCAAACTGCTGGGTCAACAGGAGCTGGAGCAAGTGATGGGAGCTCACCCGTCACGCAGCACCAACCGGGTCTCAAACACTGCCAATCGTCAGACCAGCATCCTAAACACATGAGCCACCATGCTCCCCAACTTGTAGCTCAGGTGCCACAATGAGATTCCAGTTAGTCGAACCAGGTGTGGAAGGCAGGACTAGCGCAAAGGAACCAGGTTTAAGGAGGTAGAAGAGAAAAGTCGTTGTGCCCGTTGGGACAGGAAATATTGATTATAGGTAGTCCTCAACTTACAACCACAACCGAGCCAAGTTTTCATCGCTAAGCAAGATAGTTGTTAAGTGAGTTTTGCCCCAGTTGTTAAGTCAATCGCTGCAGTTCTTAAGTCAGCCATTCAATCATGAAGCAAATCTGGCTTCACCCATTGATTTTGCTTGTCAAAAGCTGGCTCGGAAGGTTACAGATGATGATCACTTGACCCCGGGACAGTGCAACCATCATAAATACATGCCAGTTGCCATGGGCCCGAATTCTGATCATGGGACCATGGGGATGCTGCAAGGATCATGAGTGTGAAAACCAATCATAAATATTCCATTCTAACTAATGGACTTGTTAGTCTTACGTCTTCCCTTCCCTCCTGCAGCTGAAGTCAACCTACTAATCCTCTCTATGGCCCATGCTGGCTGGGGGATTCTGGGAGTTGAAGTCCACCCATCTTAAAAGTTGGTGAATTGAGAAACACTGCCCTAAAGCAGATATCAGACACTCAAGTTTTACAGACACAAATCTGTTAAAAGATTTGTCGGGGTGGGGTGGGGGTGGAGATAATAGGTTCAGATCATCATTAATCCTGGAACTCAATGGCTGAAAGCTACCCAGCCTGTACTGGCCAATGGGTGGTTTTTGAGAGCTCAGCTCTCAGCATTTTGTCTGCACAAGACCATCGACAATACGGGTGTTGGAGAACCCAGTCCTCATGTTTTGTTCAACTAGCTTTGGTGCGTGTCGTGGCTGACTCGCCACACACCTCTGCTCACAAACAGACAACAGAAACAAAGAAACAGGGAGGGGGAACGGAAAGTATTGGAATGTAAAGGTGGTTTGGGAGAGAATTGAGGGATTCAAGTGGCCCAGGACAGTCCCAACACCCCAAATCAAACGTTGAGAAAACTCCAAGCTGCTCATGAAGGCAGTTGATTGGTGGACAATGAACAGTGGGGAAATCCAGGGGAAAAGGAGGACTTTACCTATGCTGGTTTTCACACGAAAACTTTAGAACTGGCTTTGCTATTTTGGTGCCTATGTGGAATTATCAGCAAAGTTATACTCTTGCTAAAATAATGTCCCTGGAGTTTCTTTTGCTGCATTTACCAAGGGGACGGTTGACAGTGCAGAGGCGGCTCTGGAGGGAGAGACTTTTATTCATTTCATTCATTTCATTTTATTCAATTTGTATCCCGCCCTTCTCCCGAAGGACTCAGGGCGGCTCACAACATTTTTTTAAAACAAAAACAAACCTACAAACCCCACCGAATAAAACCATATTAAAACCAATATTTTAGAGTTGTGATAATTAAAATTTCTAAGAAACCCAATTTAAAATCCTCCCTAGGCCAGGCCCGCTTGTTGGAAAAGCCATGTCTTGAGGGCGCGGCGGAAAGTAAGGAGATCCGGAATCATCCGGATCTCGGGGGGTAGTTCGTTCCAGAGGGCAGGGGCACCCACAGAGAAGGCCCTCCCCC